GGGTGGGGGTAGGGTGGGGGGTTTAGGGGGTGGGTTAGGGGGGGTAGGAACCGTCAATTTTACGAACGGAGCACCGGAGGTGCCCCAAAAATCCAGTGGCACCGCTAGTGGCACCGTTCTCCGGTGTCACTAGAACCGGGCCGTATATATATATATATATATATACACACACACACACACACACACACACACACACACACACACATACATACATACACATACATACATACATATACACATATATATATAGACACACACACCTGATGAATCATTAAGAGCCTGGTGTCTATCGCTAACAGTGAGAACATCCACCAAATGGACAGGTAGTGAAGATGTGATCTGCCTTTGGTCTGCAGGTACTCGTAACCCTGATAAGAACTGATATGTTGTAAATGACCCAATCTCTAAGAACACAAGCAAACTAAAATAAGTAATTTACTTTAGCATATTCGTTTATTTCTTACTTGACTTTCATCTTCCCACACATGACTTTTTTATTGGGTTATTATGTGTATACCTATGTGATCACTGAAAATAAGCATACAGGAACATAAATAGGTTCATGGACAAGCCGTTTTTGTTTTCTTTTTCATTCATCCAGTTCTGAAAAATGTTATGCTTTAGTTATCATCAAAATTATCATCACCTTAATTGTAACTAGCTGGATCACTTGCATTAAATTCGCAACGTAAATTGATTGTATAATATACCAACAACAACCCAATAAAATCCCGCAACAATAGGGTCTGGGGAGGGTATGTCTCTGCAGACCTTACCCCTACTAAAAGCAGAGAGGCTGTTGATTGTATAACATAATTAACATTATAAATTACTACATGAAAAGCATAGTGGCAATGTTTTACATTGGGTGCCTTTTCTGTAAGAAGAAAAAATGAGATGAAACTCTGCTACGTAGCAGCGTTAGAAGGGAATGGTGTAAGATGAATGTGAAGAAGACTTGATAGAATTAATGAATTGCGTGAAACACCTTTCCAAATTAAAGTTATTTGGAGTGTACCAAAATACTTCAATTGAATAAGACGTAAGTTTCTATAACGAGTATGGAAGTTCCGTGTATCTCAAACATACCCTTGGAGGCTAGGACTCCATATATATAGAGCACAAAAAGATCGGACGTGTGTGTTGATGAAACAACACCACTATACGTGAAACGTTCGAATGTTTTGGCCAAGATATTGGAATGTATGCGGCAATTATTGTTAAACATTGTGTTTTAGCGGATTTAGGCTGACGCGTTGTGTCTAGGGGTCTGCAATTGAGAAGGGATTGGCCTGAATGCCTGATTGTAAACAAAGCATTAGCAACTTCCTAAACAACAGATCAGGAATCTGCAATTGAGAAGGGATTGGCCTGATCGTAAAACAAAGCATTAGCAACTTCCTAAAAAACAGATCAGGTAAATTTTTTACTCATCTAGGACAAGAACACCAAGTGGCTAGTTTTTTTTCTTGGGCAGAAGCATTTCAACCAAACAGCACGGGAAAGACGAATCAGCGGGGTAGCTTTAGTTTAGTGGCTTAGAAGATGGAGAAGAGGGGGCTTGCCCTCTGGTTGATGGTCGGCTGCACGTGGCTTACAACCCAAGGAGGAATTGAAGTCTAACTGTCTAAGTACTTTTGAAAATTGTTGAAGAAATAAAAGTCGTCCAATGAGAGCCAACCCACCAGAAGAATAGCTCACTATCTTTTCAGGTTCTGATTCTAACTGCTACAAACTACACTATTTGGGCCGTGAAGATCAAAGCAATTTTCAACATTAATGGGATTTGGGAGGTTATCAAACCAGGAACAGAAATCGATCCAAAGAAGAACAATATGGCAATAGCATATTTGTTTCAAGCTTTTCCGGAAGAGATCGTGTTACAAATTGCTCAATTTACCGAAGCTAAAGAAATTTGATTAGCTGAAGACTCGCTTTGTTGGTGTTAAACAGTTTATTGTTTCAAGAAGTGGTTAGAAGATTGAAAGCCTTTGAGGAACGCATCGATAGGCCAACCGAGGAAGGAGATATGCATGGTAAACTACTATTCACTAAAGGTGATGGAAAAGAGAAGGTTAAGGAGCACAAATGTGAGCACTGTGGTGGCGGGCAGTCTCAAAGGGATAAGAGCCACATTAGGTGCTTCAAGTGCAAAGAGTTTGGGCCTTTTATGAACGAATGTCCAAAATAGTATCAAAAGGAAGACATTGCATATTCAATTCCAGATGATGATGAACCAATGTTGCTTTGAAGATTGGTGTGAACACCAACAATTAGGGGCATGATTGTTAGATCTTATCGGGATTGTTAACATATAACTATATGGGGAATGGGTCAATATTTGGGTTGGGTTAGTATGGAGTCATGTAGCGTGTCTTTCATATTTAATTAACTAAAAATAGAAAACAATTAGGTAGTTTCTAGTAGTTTCTAAAAGGAGCTGGGGATAGTTTCTAAAATATAGGTTTCAGTAGTTTCTAATAGTTGTGTTGGTTTGTTCTCTATTTATATTAAACAACACATAGAAGCCTGTATAGTTCACAACAAAAATGTATTCTTCGATTTTGCTTTGATTTGATCTTGTCTATTGATAAACTACACATCCGATTAAAATCTGAAGGATTTCTTAAAAGAAACAATGTCCAAAATAAAAGGTTTTCCAGCTCAACCCTAGGACCCTGCTAGGGTACTTCCACCCCCAGACGCCGCTACAGAATTTGGAATACCGTTGAACGAGCATGCCCTTCGCACCACCGAACTCGTTAACGTATTTTAAAATTTTTGTCCTATCTAAGTAAATCCAACTACATAAAATAGCCGATGATACTAAAATCACCACCAGTCATGTGCATTATGAGACTGATATTGCAAGACCAACATGCAAATCAAGGAACAGGAACAGAGGAATTTCTTATAGGGCCATGTCTTGGGCTTTTGTGTTTGCTTACATCATATAGCAAAGAACAATTGAATGCACACACACACACAGGATAAGGTGCTTGACGTATCGCAGAAAGTCTGGGATAGATTCTTATAAAGGTTTCTCGTCATCCCTTCAAAATACACCTGGAAGTAATATTAAAAAGGACCAACCTTCCTTAACTATTTCACAACCAACTGCTATGAATCACAAGTTCAAGACATAACAGAAACTTATAATGATCTTAAAGTGATACTGGTAGTTTAAACGAAATTAACAAATGATTAGGAATTAAAGAAATTAAGAAATACTGAAGTTGGGTATAATGAGATATGAACCTTATAATATACGTATATCATTGAGAGAAGTAGAAATCCTTGCAGCTTAATTGTTGCACTGAGAGAATAAAGAATAAATGCTCTTAAAATAATGTCCAATGATTTCTTTACTGGGGTCAAATTATATAATGCATCACAACCCTTGATCCCAATAAAGCCCAAACTGATGTAAGCAATCCTCTCTACTCCGACTACTAGAGACTAGAGAAAATGTTTCTGTAAAGACCCCCAGTTAAGGAAATTTTGGAGAGTATATATTACTAATATGAAAAGAAAGAAAATAGTAAAATGACCGTTAGTGTGTAAAGTGTGCAACAAAAAAGTTCAAACAAAGGGTGGCAGAAAAACGTAAAGCAGCTCAAGATAACAAACCAATACGCAGGAAAGCAACTGTTTATGTGACTATCATATTAACTAAAACAACAAGAATCATAACATAAATTGAAAAGTATCATAAATTGAAAACAACAAGAGTCAAAGAATAAGGATCTAATAAGACAAGAAAAAAGTAATCAAAAGTAATACCTTCTCCCTGGTTTACAGCAGCTCGGAGTATAGTTTCCTGTTCCTGGATTTTTGCAGCTTGTGCCTTGTCTATAGTTGGAAGAATTGTTGGCCCCTGTCTGGTCCCAAAGTAGGCTTTGCGCGTATCAGCTATAACCTTTTCAGCACTTTCACAAGCTGCTCCGATCATATCAATTCGGCTCTACAAATAATAGAAGAATAAAAGTCCGAATGCAACAGGTTAATAGCATCAAAATAAAAAAAAAAACTACGGAGTAAATAATTACCTTGAGCTTTTCAATTTGGGAGGCCACATGGAGATTTTGCATGCCAATGAGCAACTGCTCCCTTTTGGAGTTATCTTCCATTTCCATCTCAGGCAACAACTTTGATGATAACATAACAGGTAGAACTGCACTTGCAAGGAAGAAGCATAAGGTGTTTGATGACAAAGTAAAAGTCCCAAAGAACACGCCAGAAAAGAACATAATCACTGTGCCAAAAGTGTGAAGTAAAGAAGGTATTACTTGTTGCATTTTCGGCATTAACATTCTTTGGATGTACAACGAAAGCCTTGGATACCTTTTTTATGTCTTCAACTATATTAAACAGCTCCAAATTGACCATGGAAAACTGCCCTAAGATATCTTGCCTGTTATTACATGTTCCACAAAAAGAATCATACATAGCAACAAACTGCACCCATGACCCATTTGCATACCTTTTCCATTTAAGATTAATTCCAAAAACAAAGTGCTTTAAGAATGCAAGATAACTTTCCACTTTCGGAAACATGTAGTGTTGAGGGTGGCTAACCATTTAGGAAGAGCATTCGCACGGGCTATGGCATCAAAGTCTTCAAGGATGCGAGAGATGGATTTGAAAAGGCTAATAGCTCGAGTCTTCACGGATTCCAGGTTAAGCTGTTGCTGAACAGCAGGGTTAAGCTTCTCCACCACCCTCCCAGGTTGATTTTGCGACGGTTGTTGATCCTGAGCTCCAAGTATTCCTGCCATAGCTGCAAGAGTAGGCGCTTTTCTAGTGGAGTGCGAATGCGATGGCAAAATATGGTGACAAGTTTTCTAGCCCAAACTGAATGAGAAAAATACTATGCATTGATTAATTGAAGACAAAGTAGCATACATCAACAGGGCATTGTGATATGATATTAAAAAACATCAAAAATTGATATGAATGTATGCTTCGTGATCTTAATACTAACAAGTAACCAATTATTATAGACATGAAGACAAGAAAAATCAAATGGAAATGAAACATGTGAAGAAGGCAGAAGGCTAGAGAGACTATGAATGCCAAACACGGGAAGAAACCCCTTGTAAGGATTCAATGGAGCAAGGGTGTGGGTTGTGTTTTGAAAGGAGAAGGCTTAGGTGAAATGGTAGGACCTGTCATATATATTTTCCACCCCAATTCCCATCCAAAATTAGAATAGAATGCATTAATTAAATATGTAATAAGGGCACTTAGGGTGAGTACAATGAGCAATGGGCAGATCTAGTCTAGAACATCGACGGAAGTTGGGGATGTTTTTCTCAAAAAAATGTTTACATTATCTTGTAATAAGCCAACTAAGAAATATTTTGCCGTTCACAAGTATTCAAAAAACTGACCCTATGAAGCTCAACTGTGGTGCGAGGGTGCGGAATTTTTTTTAGAAAAAAGGGTGCTGGTGTGGCAAAGGGTGAGGCAGATTTATTTATGCATTTTTTATTTGTATTATTCATTTCTTTGTAAGATACAAGTATTTATGTTCAAAATACTCACAAAATATATCAATCATTATAATTTTAAATAAATCAAACACATAACACCCTGCAAAATAGATATAAAACATAATAAGTCTCAAATTAAAATAGCCACAAATTAATGGAAGAAACCTGGCCGGCTCATCCAGTACCGCACAATTTAATAGCCTAAGCAGCCCACAAAATAGCACAGAAGAGGTCAAGGGGAAACCTAAATAGCCCACAAATTTGCATATCCAAAAAAACTAACAATTTATGAAAGAGAGCCTTAGACAAGGAGAAGGAAGTAGAGAGAGGCTGAGACAAACAGAGTAAACAGATTAGAAGGGGATAGGAGGAAGAAGAGGATACCTCAGGACGGGTGAATTCCCAATCAGTGCAAAAATGGGAAATCCATTCCCAAATGGTGAAGGTGCCGCTGACAAATAACGGTGCAGCCAGTACCGTTATGTTAATTTATTTTATATTAGCAGTACAGGCTGTACCGTTAACCCTCGGATTATTTAAAATATTATATTTAATACTTCCACTCCTTAAATATACGTACTAAATTTGAACACAGGGCCGGTCCTGAGGATTCATCGGCCTGGGCCGAATCAGAAAAAAAAGTACTAAAAGTTTTAGGGGCTGTTTCTTTCAGCCTCTTAATGGTTCAGATGTTTAATGGTTCAGTTTGTTTCAGCCTCTTAATGGTTCAGATGTCTGAATGGTTCAGACACTTGTCAGTTAAGTATTATTCAGAGTCTGAATGGTTAAGACCTCTTATCTGAATTGATCAGACATTTGCCTCTAAATAGTTAAGCAATATACTAGCTCTTAATGGTTCAGACCTCTTACTAGTTCAACACTTACCTATTGAGAAGTTGTCAAACAGCCCCTTATCCTTAATGATCTAACAAATTAACATATGTAAACTAATTATATTTAAATTATAATTAACACAATATCATAAATTCATATCAATTCGTCAATTTTTTTCTTTTTCAGTTTTAATTTTTTATATATATCATAAATTCATATCAAATCATCAATTTTTCTATTTTTAATATTTTTTAAATTTTCAGTTTTGTATATACAGATATATCATAAATTTAAATCAATTCATCCAAATAACATATAGAACCATTAATCCACTCTATTTCATAGAAATTAAAAAGACTTTTTAAATTAAAAATTTATAATTAACCTTGAATTTTAAATCTAAAGAATGAAACAATGAAAGAAAGTTAAGAAGTAATTAAGGAAACACGGAATACCTGGAGGCTGGAGCTTGAGGGTCGGCGTCCGGCGGTGCGTCTGGCGGCGGCGGCGGCGTATCTGAGTCCTGTCTTCGTCAGTTCGTCGGTTCTTCCGTCAGTTCCGTCGTGCCTCAGTCCCTGCCTTTCGGTTCTTTTGTGCGTCTCTCCAGTAGTCCAGTAACCAAGAGAAGAGGGTGAATTGGGCTGGGCTTCTTATGCATATGATATATACTAGTATATAATATTAAAAAACAAATTGGGCCCCTTAATTTTTTAGGCCCGGCCCAGACAGATTGTCTGTTCCCTATTGGGCCGGCTTTGTTTAAAAATCCACATAGAAATTTATAATTTAACTAAGTACCATGATGATGTCTTCGTGATCGCATATCCATATTATTGTGAAACGAGTATGGTGGTAGATAAGATATTTTAGTGGTGTTAGATGAGATATTTTTTTGTTAGGTGAATTGTATGGTGTGGGATGTTTTGTGGTGTTAGATGACATATTTTTTGGTTAGGTGGATTGAATGGTGTAGGATATTTAGTGGTGTTAGATGAGATATCATAAAGTACATAAGCATCCAAATTAATAGAGTAATAAAGGTTTTAGCATCCAAACTAATACAAGAATAAAAAGTTTAAAATACAGTAAATACGGTAGAGCCAGTATCGTTAAGCCTTGTGTTATCTATAAATATTAAATTTAATACTTTCATTCCTTAGAAATACGCATTCAATTTGAACATTAATAAAAAAAATTATTTATTTGATGCACTACTACTGAAATAAAAAGCATACAAATAAAAGTTGTCATACATATTTAAAAATTCCACGTTGAAATTTATAACTTAACTAAGTATCCCGACGATGCCTTCGTGATCGCATATCCATATTATTTGTGAAACGGGTGCTCACTGGACGACCGGCATGCAACCTTTGCCCTGTAATTGGTCGGACTAATTCGTAATCGAGAGTAGGCCATTCCATTTCATTTTGTAGTGGCATAACACTTCTAGAATATGCATCGAGGTAATTCTGAAGTGAGAACACTCGTGGAATGAGATCATCAACTGTAATGTTGCAATAACAACATACGGCGTAGACATGCACACATGGCATGTGCTATGTGGCCCATTTCCCGCAACTGTACATTTTTTGGCCAAGTTGCACGACAATCTCATCTAATCTACCGGTAGCTCCAGCGTTGCCCTCAACAACGACCCGATAAATCCCTTGTTGCGGATGATGGGAGATAATATGGCAATGTAAATGATGGTCTTCCATGCATCTCATCTTGTTCCAAATATATTTTGGGAACTTAAATCCCGCTTGTAGCCATGTAAATCTGTTTGTACGCTTTTCTGCAAATAATTTTACCAATCACTCTATTATAATTTTTGTACGGATTACAACGGACGGTGACGATGAACAGCCTCGGAAAATAAAAATAAATAAAATTCTGAATTTATAACTTATTCAGAATATTACAAGATAAACAGAATTGAAAATAAATTTATATATCTTCAAACAGCCTTGTTGTATGAGGACATTAAGCACTGGACATCGAGGACATTATGCACTAGGCAGAATGCAGCGAGGTCTTTATGAACTAAACTTGCAAAACAAAACACTGTGAAGGACAGCGGAGTCGCCGGAGCTGTCCTTAAGGTAATAGTGCCCGCCTACCGTACCGGAAAAACGTGGGCACTCTCCTCCCAGGATAAAACCGCTATCGTGTGTGGAGATGTATGTTACAATTTTTATACGGATTACAACGGACGGGAAAATGAACGGCCTCGGAAAATAAAAATAAATAAAATTCTGAATTTATAACTTATTCAGAATATTACAAGATAAACAGAATTGAAAATAAATTTATATATCTTCAAACAGCCTTGTTGTATGAGGACATTAAGCACTGGACATCGAGGACATTATGCACTGGACAGCAAGGACATTATGCACTGGGCTGCGAGGACATTATGCACTAGGGCAGAATGCAGCGAGGTCTTTATGAACTAAACCTGCAAAACAAAACACCGTGAAGGACAGCGGAGTCGCCGGAGCTGTCCTTAAGGTAGTAGTGCCCGCCTACCGTACCGGAAAAACGTGGGCACTCTCCTCCCAGGATAAAACCGCTATCGTGTGTGGAGATNACACACCAACGAACAAAAACAACGTAGGAACGTTGGCGACCAAAAAACTTTGAAGGGGATGGCCGGAAAATCAAGAGCTCTCTCTAAAAATTAAACAAGAAAGTTTTCCCTTTCTTTTTTTCCCTTCCTCACGTGTGAAACCCACACATAAAACACACCACACTAAACAATGGAGAGCCCTTGATATTTATAACTAAGGAATTTTAAAAAGTGTAACTCCTACACCATTAATCCATGGCATTTGTGGCACAATAATGACGTGTTAATGGTGATTAATTAGCCATTAACACGTCCGTTACGCTACGCTCCGTTTAAAATTTGTCCCGAATAATTGGAGATTAATGGCCAGTTAACTCCGTAAAAAGGACTAATTTTAAACAATACGTAAAATTAATAATAGAAGATTGGCTCAGTAAAATTGCAAAAAATTGCAATCCTTACCATATTCTTTTATTAACGGGTTAACTCTGAGAATCAATTTCTCATTCACCCTCTACCATTTTTGGCGTATAAATTATCAAAACATTTATCTCATTTAAGAGAACACACGTCCATTAATTAACGGTTAAAACCGTTAGTGGACCTATTGATAAATATACCCAAGTTGGTCCATTTAATGCCTATTAAAAATGCCAAAAATTCCAACAATCCCCCACATGAATGAAAAATTGATTTGGGGTCGACAACATCCCACGGTTGAAAATCTCCATAGAACATGTATGTGTCTCCACTTTTGAACATGTCCCTTGTAAAGTATACCTTCTTTACTGGCTGTTCAGTAGAACGCGATGTCTTTGAACTGTACTACCGCTTGTGTAAACGATAGTATACAATACACAAATTCTAACCAAACGTCATTCTGTTCTCATGGTTGTGCCCATTTTGGTCGTGGGACACGCGTCTGGTTCTGCGAGAGTGTTTAGAGGATTAAGCCCAAGATCCTCAGTTTGAAGCCATATACTCCATCTTTGTATTTGGGATATTTTCCCCAATTTTTTTTTGATGGAATTGAGATTATCTTCACTAATAGCATCGAGGAGTTCATTGAAGACCTCCTCGAATGACACATCAAGATCAAAAACAAAGGCTTTAATTTGATTGAATGCAATGAGTACTCCACCTCATTGTTCTTGATCATTATCTCACCGTTCCAGTGGGCTAGCAAGACAAAACTACCATCAGAGGCCCCGCCCCCGCATCCCCACCCCCACCCTCCCGTAAGCCCCCCACAAAATGTGTGGCTATTATGCAATTGCATAATAGCCACACATTTTGTGGGGGGGCTTACAGGGGGTGGGGGTGCGGGGACGGGGGTAGGGTGGGGGATTTAGGGGGTGGGTTAGGGGGGGTAGGAACCGTCAATTTTGCGAACGGAGCACCGGAGGTGCCCCAAAATGCCAGTGGCACCACTAGTGGCACCGTAACTCCGTTGTCACTAAAACCCCACCGATTTAAATAATACTCCCTCCGTCCACAAATAAACTTTAGGTTCACTATTCATAGGGTCAAACTTTATTCACTTTGTTGACCTATTTTCGTCACCCATTTGATAAAATAATATAGTCATATCACCTCTAGTTTTGTAGATCTTTTGATATAGTTTTTTAATATGTAATTTTTTTTTTTCAATTCTACACCATTTTTCATATAAAATGATTTGAAAATAACTTTAGTCAAACATCGTAACGCGTAATGTAAAGTTTATTTATGGACAGAGGGAGTACATCAAAAGTTTTACAAAAGGGGATCGAAATTTCCTCCCTCTACATATATATTGTACGAACCCTCCATGTGCTCCTCACATACTTAATAACAATGTAACCCGAATCTGACCGAATATCAATTTGTTCAAACCCGAAAACAAAAATGTAAGATGGGGGCAAAAGGATTCAAACCCAAGGCCTCTAATGTTCAAATTCAAAGTTGTAGTCATCTAAGCAAAATCAAATGTTTGGCAATTGTATGTAGTATATAATATATATTTATTTCTTAATACATGTTGTGTTCTAATATATTTTTTTTGAAAAAATAATCTACATC